GTCCCCGGTGCTGTCTGTCCGTGCTCCCGGAGCAGGGCTCCGTTCCCCGCTTCTCTCAGCGCTCCGTCCCCGCACACGCGGCCGGTCCCGCAGCCGTGGGTGCGATCGCTGTCTCCTCGCTCCGTCTCTTTGCTCTGCCCTTGGATCTTGGCAGGAGCCCGGCCAGGCTCCAGTTCAGCGAAGCTGCAGCAGTCACCCGCTTCTACTTGATTTACCTGCAATTAAATTTCGATTCAGCGTGTAACTGCTGTCCTCTGTTCTGCCCTTTGCAGGCACAGACAGAGCCGTGCTTCCCCAGCTGCAGACTCTATTGTACAAAAGGATAATATTGTACCCAAGAAATTAGATGTGAGCAGAACAAGGTGAGATCAGATGCACTAAAGTAACTTCCCACACATCACACAAGGTGTATCTCTCCACCTTTCCTTGTCCCCACAGATTTTAAGGGTATGTGTGCTGCAGCACAGTCCTTTTCCACTCCTATTTAGAGGGGCTGGATCTCTTGCGTCCCATCTCTCATGGGGCAACCAGCGCTCTGAATCCATGTTGGCATCTACCTTAAACATAGAATCATGGAATGGTTTGGGTAGGAAGGGATCTTAGAGCTCATCCCATTCCTACTGCCTGCCATGGGGCGCCTTCCACCAGCCCAGGCTGCTCCAAGCTGCCCCAGCTCAGCAGGGTTGCAGGTTAATGCTGTTTCCCTGGGTGCACTCCAGCACTGGCATTCCCATTCCACGGCTGCAGGGCTTTGCTGGAGGGCACAAGCGTGGTGTGACACAATGCTGAGTTACTCTGAATGTGCCTGTGCTCTGTAATTTGTGCCTTCTGTAATCATGCAAACATTAGCCTTATTGCCTTGTCCATATCCGAATCTGGATGATATATTTTGCAGTTTCATTGGAATCAGTATTCTCATTCCTGCTCGTGAACTGTGAGACAGTTTTGCAGCAAGTTACTCAACAGTTGCTAAATTTTATGAGGGATGGCTGCACATTATTGGAATTGAAAAGGAAGAGCCCTAATGTACTTCTCACTTTGTCTACCCAGTTGCCTGCATAGCTGTGTTACATGTTTCTGAATAAAAATCATGGGCTTTATGCCACTAAGATAGTTATTTCATATTAGAATTGTGTCCCCAGTCTGATTTACATGATATTGCTTTATATTATGGAGATGGCAACTGTTTCTGTGGTTAGGCTGCAAAATACTTTGCATTATTAAAAGGAATCTCACTCCTTTTTTGAATTTCTTTTCCCTAATACATTCTTAGACGAGTAGTTTTAGCTGCAGGATGTTGACATTTACCATAGAAAATGGCCCGAAGCTATAAATGTGACTTTCTATGTAGAGAGGATCCTTCATGAAATTCTTTCAGTTTTTTCTGAGCTGTGTCTTGTCAAAAATGACTATTTCTCTTTCCCCAGGGAGAGAGAAGTGTTGGGCTTTTTTTGTTTTGGTTTGGTTTTTGTTTGTCGTCCCCTGCCAGAAAATAATTTATTATTTTATAATAAATTAGATTAATAAATAATTATAAAAATATTTTATTAATTTATTATTTATAGAATAATAAATAATACACCTGTATTGTGGTGTGTATACCAAAATCAAGTACCCCACAGTGAGTGAGCACCAGATTTGTACACTCCAGACAACCTGAGCTTGCAATGCAATGATTTATCCCTGAAATCCTTGGGAGTTTGATGTGTTGTGAGCCAATTGATCAGAACTGGCAGTTGTACTTCAAATCCAGCAACACTGATCTCCTTCTTAAAAGGGTATCATGAGTCAAGGGCTCCTCTGGCTGCTTTTCCTGCATGGGGCTGGGTCAGGGCCAGAAAAAAATGTCACTTGAGAGAGAAGAAAAGCAGCTTTAGTTTTCTTTTTGATTTCTTTGGCAATATCAGGCCAAATTTGGATGGAATATAAAGATTTGTCATCCCACAAACGCTGCATGATAATGGATTCCTGCTTCAGCTTTGCATATGCTAAAGGACAGTGGTCCAGATGAAGAAAAAGAGGTAAGAACAAGACAGAAGAGGCAAGAACTGTGAGAGAAGATGGCTTTAGGCTCCCCAGAGTTTTCTACTGGCCCTCAGTTGCAAGAACATGAGTTTCATGTTGCCAACAAGACAAGAGTGAACTCATTGGTCTTACTGCAAGGAGAGAAAGGGGCTGAAGTTAAGTACTTTTTATTCTATTTATCCACTGGATGTATGAGCAAACCAGATATTAAAAAGATAATTTAGAAAATACATTATACTGGACATTTACCTTTCATGGAACTCTTAAATTATTTGTGCTTCTCTTCAGTAGCTTCAAAACTGTGTTGAGCACTGGAGATGAGGTAGAAGAGTTTCTATTTGTGGAATTTTGAGATCTCACTCCTTTGTTCCATTCTTTCAATTTTCTTCTCATCCAGTAAAGTTCTAATTCTTGTTTATATCACTGTTTGTTGTCATGGAAATATCTGAAGGCTTTGAATCTACAATCATTATGTGTTTATTGTGGCGAGAAGAAGAAACTGGAAAACAGACTTCAAGGTAGAGATTTATTTTAAAATGATGCACCTCCAAAACTCAGAGAAAAGCAAATTCGGTTTTTATTATATCCAGGGACAGAAGGTGTTTTGACTGTTGTTATAAATGTGGTTTAGAGCAGAAGGTAGCACCTGGTGTATGCTTTCAAAGGTTATGGTTTAGCAACTCTCATCACTGAGGAGTGCTGATGGAATAGCAGTAATCCAACTTAATAAAGTAAAATACAGAATGAGCTCAAATTACTTTACAGTTGTTTGTATGGCAGTAATATCTGCAAGCAGACTTCAAAACACTGCTAGTTTATTAATCAGCAAAGCTATGCTCTGCAGTCACTAATTCAGAGGTTTAGACTCAGCTTTTGGCCGTGCTACAGCTCACTGTGTCACTGGGTCACACCTGGGCATCCTGTCCCTCGTCCTCACTCACTCCCCAGCTCGAGAGAACATGATCCCTTGGTGTAGTGGGTTCCACCCCTGCCATGGGCAGGGACACCTTCCACTATCCCACTTGCTCATCCAACCTGGCCATGGACACTTCCAGGGATCCAGGGGCCTCCCCACCCTCGCAGGGAAGAATTCCTTCCCAATATCCCATCCATCCCTGCCCCCTGGCAGTGTGAGTCCATTCCCCTTTGCCCTGTCCTTCTGTGCTCTTGTGAAAAGTCCCTTTCCAGCTCTCTTGGAGCCTCTTTTGGTCCTGGAGGATGCTGGAAGGTCTCCCAGAGCCTTCTCTTCTCCAGGCTGAGCAAATATCATCTGCTCTAGTTTGGTAATGGGTAAAGATCAGATGTTTTGGTACTGAATAAGAATTCCCAGTGCATAAATAATTGCTAAAGCCCAGAAACATGAGAGGTACCTCAAGGGAAATGATCTCTGGTCACAAGATCATTTTCAGGGATTTCTTCAGCCTACTGCTTCCAGATGCTGTTCACCAAGTGGGATCTGGAAGCCAGTTATATGGAATTACACAATATGGCATTGCTCAGTGGTTTGCATTTTGTCCTTTGCATTGCAACCATTTCTGGCATTTAGTGGATTACATCTGACACCAATCAATGTCAGGGAAATTATTTAAGACAGGGTTGTTATGGAAGCCATAGGATGACACCAGTAATCACTGTGAGACTAAATAATTGTTTAGTAAAAACGTTTTATATAAAAGGCATGTAGAAAAAATTACAATATTCACACATTAATGCAATGTATCAAAATTTGCTACATTCAGCATAAAGCGAGATGAAAAGTGTTAGTCAGGACACGGCACAAACAGAACATGCCATGTTTTTCTATTCTTCTTCGAAGGTGTCCTGTCTGATATTCCCTTGAAAATCTTTCCCCAAGATAAGATCTGGCAAACATGCCTTCAGATCACTCAGAAAATCATAATTTGGTGTGACTCCTGTGCAATATGCTCTGCATGCAGAGACCAAGCCTGATAGCAGGGGTCAGTGCTGTGCTGAAATCACCAAGCTCAGTCCATCTGCAAAGAGACCCTACAAAAGCCATTTCTCCAAGGTAACAGACATACAGGTATATAGGGAATGGCTCTTTTCTCCAGCCTTTCTGGCAGGGAGAAAATTTCTGAATTAAATACTGAAATCAGAAAAGAAAACTGTAGAAAAGTTTTCTGTTCTCTGTCAAAACAGATGATTTGACAAGGAGGCAAACCAGTGTTCGAGTAAATGGTGAAGAATTTCATATATTTGATTGCCACTGAAAACAGCGTGTGACACTGTTAAACAGCAGGCAGAAGTTAAAACTCATTATTTTCAGCTTACACTGGTGTGTTTCTTTGCCCTAACCTGCCCAAAGAAGGGTGCTCCTGAAATTCTTCTCTTGCAGCTCCAATGCAGGCATTTCAGGGAGCCAATGTACTGCTTGTGTGACTAGCCAGATGAGCACAGAGTTACAGTGTCTGTAACCCCCTGTTGTTGGCTGGGCAGGAAGATGAACAATTCCTGTTTACTGGTGAGGCCCATGTGCAGGGGCTGCTGTGATTTAATTACCACAGCATGCAGGTGAATGGGAGGGTTCCCACGGCAACCCCAGAGTATTCAAAAAATAGACTTTAAAAAAAGCCAGACTTCATCCTGCCATCACTCTGTTGATAAAAAGTAACATTTGCAGAACTGTCTTCCTTTCCCTCCAAGGTTTGTTTTTTTTTTTTACCTTTCCCACTGTTTCCTCTGAATCTGGGCAAAATGCACCCATGGTACAATTTGCTATTCCTCCACTGACAATGCTACAGATGTGCTGATTTACACAACTTGACTTTTGCTAAGCACTGAGCCTATACAGTCTAAACTTTCAAATTATTTTAATACAAAATAGTCATTTTCACAGAGTTAAAAAATATATTGTTCGTTTTAAAAAAAAAAGTGTTTTACAAAAAAATTGTGAAAAATTTTCAATTCCTAAAAATAAAATCAAATATTTACAGCATTACCTAAATAAGCAGCATTTTTGTAAGTACAGACAGTTGTGCCTGTTTCCCTTAAAATGTTAGTCATTGGGGTGTGTTATTCTACATTACATCCTACCCAACACAGACCAGTACAAATAAACATGGAAGAATCTTGTCATGCCTAACTTGCTGCAAATTTCTCACAGAATTCAGTATTTACAGAAACCCACTTTTTTTTTCTGGATCCAATTCTTGCTGTCAGCAAGTCTAACAGCAACTGCATTACTGAACTTACTGTGAGCCTGGTGAGATGTCTGCAGAACAGTAATTACGTAAATAGGCACTGTTACAAAGTGTTGATCAAAACACAGATTGATTTCAAAAGCTCTTCAGTGCCATTCCAGCAGCTGTTCTTATGTACAATAAGACAAATGTGTTTACTCAAGACATGATCCTGGAAAATGCTTAAGCACATACTTAATTTCAAGCATGTGGATACCCTGATGTAGTCAGATTGTTCGTGTGCTTAAAATTAATTAGGTGCTTAATTGCTTTGTTAGACGAGATGAAGATGTGCATCTTCTGCAAAATTCCTGTTCAAAAAACTTCTGGAGAAATTCCACAGGCACTTGGGCTCAGTATGTACAAAGGTTCCTGACACATTCAAGAAAGGGTCCTAATGGAGACCACAAATAAAATTTGATATTCAGTCTCAGCCTTGGGTAACCAGACCTGGAACATCCGCCATCCCTCGTGCCACAGCTGAGCCATGGAGCATCTCTGGTGAGTGCTCACCTGCCTGGGGTTCTGGCCAAAGGGATCACCTGAGGGCTGTGAATCCACCACACATTCCCAGCCTGGCTGCCTGTGCCTGCACAGGGCATTGCCACCCACAGCCAGCTGCTGCTGCTCTTCCTGGCTGCTGGGACAGAATGTGGTGAGAAAGGGCAGTGTGCTCTGCTTGGTATGGATACAGCTTTTGCTTGTTATCCCCTATTTTATAGGAGTTCAAGCTGTCCTTGGCTAGAAAAACTGGGCTGTTTGGGATCATTATTTTCGTGTTTTAACTGATCATGAAGGCTCCAAAAAAACTTGCTTCTTTGTCCATGTCAACTATGTCGCTGTTGCTGACAGAGACAAAAATCCTGTCCTCTCTCTTCAGCTGAAACACACCACCTTGATAGATGGAATAAAGTCCATATTCCGCCTTTTTAGACCAGCAGCTTGTTCTTGCACTTTTCATGAGCAAAATGGGCTCAGGGTAATTAGTCAGTTTGTAAACATACTGGACAAGCTGTTTGGGGTTCCTGATTTGTCCCAACAAATCTGAGTCCTCATTCTCGTTCTCACGGAAGCGGAAGTAAATTTGTGAGTAGATGTAATAAAAACCTGTCTGGGGTATCACTAACTCTCCATTTCTCAGCTCCACGTTGTAAAGGAAGGAGTGGCCTTTTCTTGATGATTCCCAGTTGTTTATTTTGTGTCCATTTCCTCTTCTGGGCAAGGGATTTACTTGGAAAAAAAAAGGAGAGCGATGTTAACTTAAAAAACAGGTAGTGAAGCCAAGTGCCTGCTAGCTGAGGAGCATTGTTTTTAATAACAAAGTAAGGAAACCTTCTCTTCCCAGCAGTTCATTAGATCCGTTGTCACAACAATTTGATGTGTAAATAAGCTTTATGTGGGAATTGACATGAACTGCCTTTATTTTTAATATCTGTTCTCCCAAATAAGGGAAAAAAATATGTTTTTACTTAGTAACAAAGTTAGAATGTCCATTAGTGTCTGATACACTTGGAAATTGCAGAAAGCCGAGCAAGCCCTTCATTAACATGGCCTGAATGTCCAGTCTCTCCTGTCTGTCTCACATTTCTAATAGGTCTGTCACCATAGCAGCTGGGACTAGCACAACCAACAGAAGGAAATGAAGGAAAAGAGGAAAACTTAACACTAGGAAGGACATTTAAATTTATTTTTCTCCCTAATGAAGGTTCCAAAAGAAGAGTTAGGAAAGTACCCAGAAGAAATAGGCATTCTCTCTGTTTGGTGAGAATTAGCAGAAAAAACCCAACGTGTGGGACGAGACGATTTGTTTCCTACTGCTAGCTCAGTACAAGTACTAAAAGGGTGTTTGTAAGCAGCGAGGCTAGCAAAGGGAGAGTAATTTGATCAATTCAGTGGTCTTTAGGTGTTGCTAAAGGTGTGTCCTTACTGCGTGGGGCCAGGGAGCTCCTCCTGCTGCTGCTGCCCGTCAGGTGTGCCGCGATCCTGCGGACGGCACCGCGCGGCTGCTGCCCCTCGGCGCGGGGCAGGGTCAGCGTGCTCTCCACTGAAAGGAAAAACACACCCCACGTCAGCTGCCAGCCCTTCAGAAAGCACCCCTGTTCCACCTGGCTCGATTTCAAGGAATAGGTATGTCACTTTTTAACTGACTGAATCACAGGCTGATGGCTAATTATTGGCTAATAAGGCTCAAATTCCGTTTTCACTCTTGCTCGTGAAGTGACTTCACGCGCCTCTTGGTTCTCCTTTTTCTCCTCCCTCTGCCTTCAAGTTATCAATAGACAAAATAACCCATAGTACTCCAATTTATGGTTAAATATTCCTCATCTCCCTATGAATTTCCACTTGGAGGTTGTAATGCTTTCACCCAGCATCTTTAGCTTAACTGATCTCTGCAGCTCTGTGCTCCATGTTCCAGGAGCTGGGCTACTGGGAGGGCTTTTTAAACATCCCCCATAACACATGGGACTGGGCTCTAGAGGCTGAGTCCTCTGCATCCACCTTGGTTTCCTTGCTCTAACCACTTGACAGTAATTCCAGCTCCTGAAAATTCACCTTCTAGTAATAAATAATCATTTTTTGATGACTTGATGCCAGTACAAGACCTCAGTCACTTTTCTGCGCTTTTAAAAAATCAAGTAAATTATACATGAAGTGCCACTAGTGGCTCCTTTTTATCACAGTTAATAAAATTATTACAATACCGTTGATTGCAGATATGTTTTCCTCGTAGCTTCTTGATATCATCTGCAAACAAACACAGTGAAAATGAATTAGCTTGTCAGCTGGGGCTAACAGGAGCAGGAAAAAGACACACCTTTTTTTACTCATTAATAAAGAGGATTCTGGATTTGATCAACATGCAAATAGGGGGAAAAAAGCACCTATTAGTTTGTTGCAATAAAGATTTTCTATGTGTACATCTTTTAGGCAATGAAAGATATGGGAAAACATTTTCAAGAGCTCAGGCATAAATCTATTGAAAAATCTGAATCTCAAGCTTCTCTCAAATAAAAGAAGTGTCCAGGCACCAACTTCCACTTGCAGAATACTTGGCAGTGTGAACTATAGGGTCTTAGATCTGAGGACTTAAATTTAATTTATTTAATTTATTTTTATACCTCTACTTATCTATCTAAGCTCTCAATCCAGCATATTTTGCTTTATGCATCCCCCTTCTTTATAACTGTTTGCTGAAACAAACCAGTTTAGTATTGACAGTGGTGCAGCAGCAGCAAGTGTGGTGATGATTTACCTGGGTAGCCAATAAGGCCTGTATTGCCAATTATTGATGGGTTTTGTCCTGCCACATTTCTATTTATCCATCTATCCTAATAGTAATAGTAGTATTATTGTAATTGTAACTTATTTCTGGCACCAAGGCTACCTTTCCATAAGCAGTCAGGGAGCTAGCAGGTATATTAGATGTGTAAACATCCACCAACTAAAAAAATGCTTTAGTGCATCGAACAGTGCAGGAGTTCAGGGACTTCACTGGCAGAGCTTCCACCAAAGGAGCTGAGATTTCTGAACACAAATAGAGAATCTGCTTTGGACTGCAAGATCTGTTTTTGCCAGGAAATTTCAGCCAGAAGAGAATTTCGACGGATGAGTTTGATTATGTGCTGGAGATGGGATTTTGAAATCCATTCCAGAAGATTTGAAGATTTTAGCCTCTGTGATTTTTCAGCCAGGCTGACTTTGTTCTCTGTAGCCAAAATTATTTGTATCGTGTGTAAGTCACGCAGGAGGTGTTCTTTGGGAAGGTGCTGTGCCTGATGCTGTGTGCTCACTTGCTCTTTCCTCCATCACTGCATCACACAGCTCATGACTGGACCACTCCTTAGGCACCTTTGTGCTCTCCCTGTGTTACATTTAATCTCATTTTCTCTCCTCGGTCTCCCTGTATTTCCAAAGAGGCAGTGACAGCTCTGACAGCACCATGATCTGTATGGTCAAGTAGAAAACCTTTACCCTGTGGTATTTCAGACAAGCCAACCTATCAGTGGAATTTGTTTAGTAAAAGATGATAGTCTTTGCTTTATTATTTCCTGAATGCAGTGAAACCACTTTTATGGGTTGTTTTTTCTTTTGCTCCAGTGCAAGCACTCTGCAGCTGGAGCTGTGGCCTGACAATTGCTTTGCAATAAAACAATCTGAACCTCCCTTATTCTGCTATTGGGATTCCTTCAGCTGTAACATCACCAAGCACACTGTTCCCAAATACCTTTTTAATTAACTTTCCCAGGTGCCACTTCACTTGCCAGCAGGGATCAGACTCTCTGTCTTGGCTTTCGATGAGATCCAAGTTTTGGATGGAATTTCCGATCTCCTCCCCGGTGAGACAAGCAATGCCACTCTTGGAGTACGAGTCCTGGAGCTGCAGCACAGGGAAAATCCAGGATTGTTCATCCACCTTTGCAGCTGTGGTATGTCACTACATTCACTAAGTGCTAAGAAACACACTTTGTTTTCTCCAAAGCATTTGTTAGTATGGTGCAAGTAGGACTACATGAACAAGAGGATTGAATTAATCCTGATCTGACACATTTAAATAGGAGGGCATACCTCACATGAAAAAAATATGCTTGGATTATCTCCATGGACATAAATCTGGTATCCAGTATTCAACTTAATAGGTTTTGTGAAAATTCAACACCCAAATCCCTGATGCTGGAAATTCTTTAGATTCTCTAGTTCTGCATAAGAAACATTTCTTTTGCACAAGATTGCTTTTTAAACCAATTATTGAGGATGAAATAAAATACTAGAACTTAAAAGTATTTTCTGAGCTGTCTTTTCAGCCAATTGCATTTATAATCCAGACCTTTGCTGTTATATGTATCTTTACCATATCCTCCCCATATCCAGTTTGGGGTCTCTCCCAACAGCATTTGTCCTTATAGTCCAAACAACTGAAATTACATTTGAGTCCAAATAAAACTATAATGCTAGATGTTTTTGACGTGAAAATACCAAATATTTGTATCCTCTAGTCATGGAGAAAACTCTTTTTTCTGCTGAGTTTGAAGAGATTGGCAGAACTCCTTTTGGCTCCAAGAAGAATCTGACTGGGAGTGTTTTCCTACCGGAAAGCTCTCTCCAAGCTGCCTGTGGATGTGACTCCAGCTGGCGCTGTTGGTCAGTGTGGGAGCACAGAACCTGAGAGCAGCCCTTGTTTGCTTTGAACTGGGCTCCTGCTGCATCAGCTGCAGACTGGTCAGGCTTGTGGAGCCAGCAAAGCACTAGGGGAACTTGGAGGAAACAGCAAGAAACATGCAAAGCATCCAGATGGAATCCTGGTAGTAGCATTTAAATTTCGCTTTTTTGTTGTGGTAAAGAAGCTTGATTTGGTTTGCTAAACAGATGCTTTTTTTCCTACAAGTACCAGTTTTTTTAGCTGCCTTTGAGACTGGGGTATTGAAAGCAACAAATGGATTTCCTCCTTCACACTCCATGCTTTTCCTGGCTGTTAGAAAACAAAGGGTTTTAGGGAGAGATTTCCTGCAACAGGGGAAGGAGACTTCACCTCCTTCAAGTCCCACCTTCAGTTTGCAGCAGCAGATTCCACTGAGCTTCAGCTAGTACTTGAAACGATGTACTTTGTAGGCAGCAGAAGCAAAAGGATGTTTGTGAGGGTTTGTGTGTCTTTGCCAAGGAGTACAGTGGTATTTTAAAATCAGGTTTCAAGAACTCAAAGTGATTAATATTATGTGCTCATTGAGGTAAAACTACGAGCTCTGACTGGTTTAACTATACAATGAGCTTCTATAAAAAAGTAGTTTGACGAGTTTAAGAAAAAAAAGCCAAACATAAGCAAGATGAGAGGTTAGTGTTTATCCTCTTGCAGACCTGTCACAGCTCAGCTCCCAGCTTTGCCCTCCCACCTGGGAGCAAAGTTCTGTGCCTCTGCCTCCACCTTACCTGCTCACCTTTCCCCAAAACAGGTTTACTCTCCTGGCACCTGTAACCTTACTTTGTATGCAGTTTGAAATCCGATGGGGATGCAACCTTGCAGCAGCACATTATGGAATTGAGGGACTGGGATTTCTCTTGTAAGATTTACTCAAATGAGGTTTATCTGCAGCACTGAACCCTTTGAGGACACAACTCCTGCAGGAATCTTATCTTGTTGAGCCTCTCCTATATTAGGAGTGGTTACTGGACTGTTTCTGAAACAGAAGGAAGCCAGAGGCTGTTTTCCTTGCCCTATGTCCTGAAGCATAAGAACTTTATTGTCTCAGTACTTCCTCTTAAAGCAAAACAGTTAAACAAATGTCCTAGTCCTAATCAGGTTATTACAGCTGTAGTGGACAAACCCTGCCAGTTACTAGCATGCTTTTTGTAAATACCTGCAGTCTGTGCAGCTACAGTAATTTGGTGAAGGTGTAGAAATGCAGGCATTGTGAACAAAAAAAAGGAAGAAAAATGTGCAGACAAAAAGTCATAGTTTATGTACAAAGATTTATTCCACATGCACCACGTGGCTGTGGGGTAGCAGGCTGTGTCTAGACGAGATTTTTCCTGTTTATTGTGCACCAAATGGCACATGCAGGAATATGTGGTTAAGGTACCTCCTCCAAAGCCAGCAACCTTTGTTTGCAGCCCAGCACAACTTCAGTTTGGACAGATTTATCCCTTGACAACAAATGCAGGCTTGTTATTCTTCAGAAACTGCGAGTTGTAATTTGGGCAAGTCCCTGGGCTGTGGTGGTGTCCCAGGTGTATATGTTTAAATAGAAGGAAGGAAAAGATAAGTGTGGTTACTAATTACTTAGATTGGCACGTTTGTTAGTAAGGGACTCTCAACTGTGTGCATGAGGATGCTTTCATATGTTTTTCTTCATGAGCAATCATGTAACCTGATTTCATAAAGTCAGCACATTTCTGTGACTCCCCCATTAGTCAGCCACAGCTATAAATTCAGCAGGAAAATCTGTTTTATACATTTTTAAAATATGAGCATTGGCTCCTACTGCAGAACACTGCACACCCTTTGCCCCACAGAGAACTCTGACATCTCAGAAGGCTCCACCTATTAAATCTAACGTGGAATAAATACATAATAGCATAATATGCATATCTGTATTATTATTAATAATGCAATTAAGTATGCATTACTAAGTGCACATATATACAATAGTAATTTACATTACTTTCTGAAGTTGTAGATATACAGAACACTTACCTGCAGGTAGGTTTACCTGTGTGCCAGGAGTAGCAACATCCAGGCACAACTTAGAGCAGGACAGACAATTTGGGATAAGACACCCATGGAAACCCTGAGTAACAAGGGCCCTTGAAAAGCAGGGCCACACACACGGGACTATCAACTAAATTCAACTTTCCTGGAGTGTAAATGATCTTTTGTAAGAAGAGGGAAGAGTTAAGCAGCAGCTGGCAAACCTCAAGGGAGGCTGCAAGGAGCCTAAAGCATCTAGACTATACAATGGACGTTTTATAAGTTATTCCGGGAAATTCAGCGGTGCTCGCCGTCTGATGCAGTTCCTTTAGGGCTAGTCATGAAAACCATGTATTGTCCTACAGGAAACATCTACGAGACATTTGATCTTTCCCAATCCTCCTCGGCGGTGCCGCTGACAGCGCCTGCTCCCCCAGCCCTCCCGCACCGCAAAAGGGATGAGACGGCCGATCTGCGCTCGAATGGTAAACACATTTCCCTCAAAATCGCACAGCTTTGTCCTCTCGAGCCGGACACTTTGTGCCAGCCCCGGCTCTGCCCTCCTTTGGCCGCTCACACCCAGCACAGCCGGCTGTGCTGCGGACAAAGGCAGCGGGGCTTTGTCCCGCGGGGAGCCCAGGGATGCTGCTGGCATCGCCCCCCGCACCGAGCCGGGCCGTCCCGGGGGTAGAAGGGGCAGAGGGGGTCCCCCCCTGCCGCACAAAGCCCGCACAGACCTGTCTGAGCTCGCTGGTGAAGTACAGGAAGGTGACGGCCACGCACAGGGACTGCAGCAGCACGGCGGCCACCAGCACGACGCCGCAGGTCTGCGCGGGGCTGGGGCCGCCCGCCGGCAGCATCCTGAGGCTGCTGGGGCTGCTTCGGGCTGCCTGGGGCCGCTCTGGGCTGCCGGGGGCTCACGGCCGCTGTCCCGTGGCGAATGCAGCCCGCGCTCCGCTCGCCCCGCCGGGCATGCAGCGGGCGGAGCGGGGAGGAGCGGGGAGGAGGGACCCTCCCTCGCCTCTGTTCTATCCCTCCCCTCTGTCCTGTCCCTCCCCTCTGTCCTCTGCTCGCTTTCCCTCCGTCTTCTCTCTGCTTTCCCGCCCTGCCTACCCGGGATTTCCTCCCCGCTGCCGCCGCTTTCTCCGCTTTTCCGAAGGGCGGGATGGATGCTGAGATGTGCGGTCACTGCTCAGCGCTGCTGAGAGCATCTCCCAGCAAACTCTCTGGGAGTTTGCCGGCAGAGAACGGTGGAAGCTGTTTTTTTAAAGACATTAAGGCTCTGGCACGGAGTTTCCTGAATTCAAGTTGTGTGACAGAATCTTCGAATCACAGATTGGTTTGGGTTGGAAGGGACCTTGGAGTTCAGCTCGTCCAACCCCTGCCATGGGCAGGGACACCTTCCACTATCCCAGGTTGCTCCAAGCCCCATCCAACCTGGCTTTGGACACTTCCAGGGATGGAGCATCCACAGCTTCTCTGGGCAACCTGTGCCAGTTTTTCACCACCCTAAGTGTAAAAATCTTTTCATTGTAAATAACTTTCTCATACCTAATCTGAATCGATGCTCCTTCACTTTTAAGCCATTGCCCCTTGTTCTATCGAAACAGGCCCTGCTAAAAAGTCTGTCCCCATATTTTTTATAAGCACCCCTCAAGTACTGAAAGGCTTCATTGAGGACTCCCTGGAGCCTTCTTTAGCTGAACAAACCCCATTTTCTCAGCTTTTCTTCACAGGAGAGATGCTCCAGCCCTCTGAGCATCATCTGATTCACTCCAATAGGTCCATGTCCTTCCTGAGCTGTCCTAAACGTGTCCTGTCCTCTGCAGCTTCTCCTCTAGAGCTGGCACATCAGAGAAAGGTGCTTGTGAGCCAATAACCAGTGCCAGGAGCTCCTTCCCAGTGCTACCAGGGCTTCTACAGCCTGGTTATGACATGATTATTCCCACAATACATGGACATCAGGTATATTTTGAGCTTTCTTTATCTGTTGGCACTTTGGGGCTTGTTTGATTGGTTTTCAAACCTCTAAGGCTCCTTCTTGCAAGCTTTTCTCCAAATTGTTCCACCCAGATAGATGTTTTCCAAAGGCACATCCATGTTTTAGGGTGTGCCCATTAACTTTCCCTAAAGTTCTGACACATTCAGCTCACACAGATTGGGTTATAAGCAAATCTATAATTATCTACTGATACTTTTAAATCAGCAGAGGTAGGACCTCTGCTGACTGTGCAGCCATGGAAAACTGGAATTTCAAATCCAAGTGCAGACATTTGAGTCAGGTCACTTCCATTCTGCTGGCTGCAGGATGGGATGAAATTCTGGCTCCTGCTCAACATCTGCAACCTGAATGCCAGGATGCAGGTGGGAGTTCTCACTATAATTACAGGGGAAAATTAAAATCAAGATCTCTTAATCTCCCCTGACTATTGAGGTAATCTTTAGAAGGCGTAACTGCATTGTATTCAACCATTTAGAGGAAAATAAATTGTTTTTTCTTCCATCATAATGCAGCAAAATAATCCCCCAATCCCTGTTCAACGTGGCAGCAGACAGTTCATTTGTCTGGCTCTCTGAGACATTCAATCTGGGTGCCAAAGCAGTTCACATCTGTGTAATTCCAACACAAACGTCAGATGCAGATTACTTCTCAAAAATGAGCTCATGGTCCCCTCCTATGCCTTCTCATGAAAGTCAGTGACACTTTGGACTCCTTCTGCTTTGTTTATTACTGTTTATAAATTCCTAAGAACAAAATTAATCTGAAAGAGTCATGTGAAGAATCAGATAAGAAATGGCACACTAGCTTGGATGAAGACTCCTGCCTGCTGAAATAAATTTTTTTGGCTCTTTGTTCTGGTTGTTTAGGGAGGTCCTATCTCATTTGAGGGCGTTTCCTTTCAAAAAGAATAGAAACAAAAGTGAAAGAGAGCCAGGGCACAACAGAGCACACTTGTTCACAATCAGGAGTTGGCTTGGATTCTGTTTTCCCAGCCCTTTCATGGCTTTCCCCTCACCCTTCAACTTTTAACAGAGTTATTTTGTAGGTTAACATACCAACTGAGGAAAGATTTTAAGACCCATATATTCATTTTGTTGCCCTCTACCAGGCATGGTCTGTGTGCCCCTGACTCATCATTTTAAATCCTCCATGAGTATTTCTTATTTAGTACTTGTTTATTTAGTGCCAATCTTGCAAGGCAAAATTAATGAGGTATGATTTGAAAAGAGGAATGGGAAAAGCACACTCAAATTAATCTCTTAAAAAGATTATGAGTTCACTATTTTTCTGAAGATTTAGGATCTGAAAATTTCATTACACAATGAATGATAAACAGCTTATGAGTTTCCACACTGACATAGGATATTCCAGAAGTGAAACTGCAACCATTTCCAGCATAGAATGCACTTGAAAATCTTTGCTACTTTCAATGTTCACTTTTTTGGAATTAATTTTTGTCTCTAATAAGTGTAAACTTATACTGTAAATAATTTCTTTTGAAGGTTCCAAGAGTTGAAAATTAGTGTTTTGATGAAATTTTGCCACAGTAAACCTGGGGCATTGACACCAGTGGGAAGGAATGGTGTTAGCATGTTTTTAAACAGAACAAAGCCACGTGTGTTTGTGTAGTGCTAGACCAGGGCATCTCCCCAACAAAACCTCTGATACTTCCTGGTTCCTTCATCCTATTAAAGCTTACTGAGTGAGCCATTTAATTGAGATAAGACTTAATCTGTCCTGTGGATTTAGGATGTGTCACTTGGCATGTCAAGTAAACACCTGGCAGGGGACCTACCACACTCGTCCCCCAGCATGTGACAAGTAGGAATGTAAAATGGCTCTGAAAATGTGTAAAAATGAAGGCAGAGCGACTTGAAAAAGTCTTTCAGTTCCCATTCCTCAGTGATTGCAGTGATAGAGGTGATGAAGATGTTTTCAGAGAGGATGTTTTCCAAGGCAGACAAAGCAGGGCTGACTTTCTGGTATGCAGCAGTTCTTGACTTTGATTTCTCTGCTGAGCAGCAAAGGGGGTCGTGTTTTTCATCACAGCATGTAATTGCAGTGCTGCAGCTGCAGAGGGGGAATGAAGCTGTTCCTCTTCCCCCCAGCAGATCCCTGAATGCTGCTCTTGGTTTGGGCTTTGCTGCTCCAGCTATCAGTTCCCGCAATGAAGCCGTGCCTGTTTGGCTCTGTCTCCTCTCCTTCCTGATGGGAAAGGGAAGTCCCTGCCCACCTCTGCAGCCTCCCAGTTCATCTCTGGGGCACTGCCAGGCTCAGCTTCAGGGCACAGGTCATGAGCAGCCTCACCCTGCCAAGCCCCCCAGTTCAGCAGGCACAAGGAGCCTGCAGCCAGCACAGGGTTAACCTTGCAGTGTGCTGCCTGGCCCTGCACATGTGCTGGACAGATCACATCTGGCTCCTGTGGTTTGTTCATTCCTTCGTGGTCCCTGTGCCAGATTCCGACCTCATGTTTCACTGTCAGTTGTAAACCATCTCAAATCCTGAGTTCATTGTGATTTGTACTGTGGTGGGATCAGGATCTATTTATCAGTGCAATACCCTTTTGGCCTATGGTGTTACACAAACAATTGTAATGGTTTGGCTGGCCCAAAACACACCTATGAATTAAATTAGTGGGACCTGACATCTCCCTTTTAATTCTCCCTTTTAAGTGGATTTGATAGAAAGAGCAGGCAATATCTGTGCATGGCCATGCCACAGTCAAAAAAGTGCTGTAGAAACAGTACTCCAGATCTAACTTTGGATCTCTCCATTTTGGCTAAGAAAATACTTCACTACCTTTTGTCTGTTAATATACTGTATATATTTTAAGTGTGTTCTTAACTTTTGTCAGTTAAATAGGGGCACTTCCAAAAGTATATTGTCCTTTATGAGTGCTCATTATGAAATCTTTCTTTGACAGATTTAGTGTCATAAAATCACTGAATGGTTTGGGTTGGAAGGGAGCATAAAGTTCATCCAGTTCCAACCTTCCTTCCATGGGCAGGGACACCTTCCACTATCCCAGGCTGCTCCAAGCTCCATCCAACCCAGCCTGGCCTTGGGCACTTCCAGGGATCCAGGGGCAGCCACAGCTTCTCTGGGCACCCTGTGCCAGGGCCTGCCCACCCTCAGAGGCAAAAATTTCTTCCCAATATCCTATCTAAATCCTTTTTCAGTTTGAAGCCCCCTTGTCCTAGCACTAGTTTTTTTTTAGCTTTCAGGCACCAGGGATTGTCATGAGGCACATCCCAGGAATTCACCCACGTCTTACTCACTGAATACAGTTGGTTTCACTAAGGTGCTCTGACTCAAGATTCCTTCTCATAGTGGGAGCTTATTAACAAAAATCATTCCCATGTCATTGTTTTAATTATGATTTATTGTGCCCCAACAGGGAGTTTCTGTTTGACAGGAAGGTCTAACAATACAATGTTTCTATTTATCTTAGAATGAAAGATTTTGGGTAAAGGAAAGTTTCTAAATACGCCAATTTGGAATAATTAAAACTACTTTATTGTTGCAGTAATGTATGTATTCATTATAAGGGATACAATAAGGGTACATTAAATAAAAAATGTATTCATTGTAAGGGATACATAGCTCTGCTTTCCAGTATTCCCCAGAGATCCCTGAAGTAGCAGCAACTCCTTTCAACTGTAAATTCCAAAGCTGGACCTGGCCATGTGGCTGTTCCATTATTACACAACCAGTCTTGTGTGCAGCACTGGATGATGCTCCCTGGCTAGGGGAGCAAAGGCAATGTTTATAGATGCTCTTAAGTCTTTTTCTGTGTTACACTAACAAAGTGATAATGTGGAAATAGGTTCATTGCAGTCTCAGTCTGGAGGGAGCTGGAAGGAGATTCATAACATATCCATCTGCCTCCACAACATTTCAGAAAGAGGAAGAATTGTCCCTGGCACAC